GCACGCCCTTAACACATACCTATGCAGAGGAACCTATTTGAGGACCAGGCTGAAGTCCTCATTGATGGAGACGCACGCCCTTAACACATACCTATGCAGAGGAACCTATTTGAGGACCAGGCTGAAGTCCTCAGTGATGGAGACGCACGCCCTTAACACATACCTATGCAGAGGAACCTATTTGAGGAATCGGATGTACCTACTTGAGAAACTGGCTGAAGTCCTCACAGATGCTCTCGCAGCCGGGCCACTTGCAGACGCCATGGCCATATAGGGAGTGCGAGGGGGCCATGTCCTCATGCACAGAGCTGTACAGAGAGAGACGGACAGATGGTCCTTACCTAACACTCAGGGAGCCCAACGATCCACATCATTCATTAACATGGCTTTTTTAAGATGCAGTGTGATTTGCACAGTTTATAGATTATACCCTTATCCACTTGTACCATCTGATGTCTCCGCTACAGTTTCTCAGTTTGTCTGACCCTCCTGGGACAGTATCCAGCAGCACAAGCAGCCCCTGCCCAGCTGACATCCACCAGGCACTGCCCGGTTGTGGGTAGAATGTGGAGAGACGCACCTGCCCTGAATCATTGCCATACCCTGATCATTTCTGCTTGCTGTCTTCTTCTGAGGCTGCGATTTGTGTACGGCTTAGCTGCTTATCTTAAATGAATCGTGGGGTACGGTTAGCTCTCTAGCCACCTGCACCTGCTCCACACGCACCACTTTGCGGAAATGCTTAAATAATGCATATGACAGACTGATATTCGAGCAGCCTTTCATAGCTGCAGAGCTGTATATAAAAGCATTAACGTTATACAAAGTCTTCTCTGCATCATGTATTCTGTTTATATGACAAGCAGCGCAACAAAGTCATTTCAAAAGCCTGGGAAAAACGGCTTAAATTCTTAATGCACGCCGAGGGTACCTGCAACATTTCCCGCGGCCGTTTGCACAGACTCGCAGCTTTTGATTTGGAGAAAACAGGCTATTGGGTGCTCGCTATCGCTGGGGATACAGTAGATGCATTAATCAACCGCTGAACAAACAAACAAATGAACAAACGAAAGTGAGACGCTGTGTCTCCTCCAGCTAGAGGTAACGGGCCTCTCTTAAGCGAGGACTAATTCATCAGAAGGATCCTTGGACGCTTTTTGACGGTGCTAACCTCTCTCGGCGGGAGCTCAGCATGGAGGACGGTCCATTGGATACAGAGTGGTGCGTAATGGGTGGCGAGGCTTTGGAGGTGCTGGTGGAGGTAGTGGAGGAGGAGCTGGTCGTCGTCAGGTCGAGGCTGCAGGCGTGTTTCCCACCACCAGGGCCGTCCTCCATGTTGTGGGTGCCGGTCACTTCATTCCACAGCTGCTGCAGCTCCACAGGGCTCAGGCCGGCTGTGAACACCAATGCCACTGACAGTTAGCACCATTAGCATGGCGTTGCTAAGCAAAACATCCTGAACACTGATCAAAATAGAAACGAAGCAAGGAAACACTGAACGAACATGAATTTGGTTATCATGTTTGTCCTGCCCTAAGGGCACAGCCACTGTTCACAGGCAGTCTTAACCCAGGACAACTCGGACAGTACTTCACGCTCATTGGTAAATGACTCATTGGATGTTTACTGAAGAATACTGCAGGCTGATTTAAAAAAAAAAAACCCTCCTCTCCAGGGTATTTCAACCTTAACATAATAATCTATTCTGGTTAAATAAAACAAGGAAGAAGATCAGGTCAACAAGTCAATCCTCCAGCAAACATGGAAATGGGGTGGGGGGTTTGGCCTCCTTTTCATCCAGCTTCTGGGTTCTCGTGGTTCCCGGTCGACCTGTTCCCACAGCCACCTCGATATTCCTGTCTCTCACCAGTGTGGGGCCCTTGTATTTGATGTTTTTTCGCGATGGCGATCGCTTCCGTAAACGACGAGGGACTTACGGCATCGCGGACACCGGAAGATCGTGCATCGCGGCTCACACGGCAGCTTGCCACCCCCCCCCCCACACTTATCCTCCAGAAGAATACAGACACACCTTCAGCTGCTGCAGACCACTGCCTCCATCATACGGAAAAAACAAGACACTTGAGGGAAAAAGAAATGGTACTGAGGCAAAAATTAGTGTTTCCTGCAATCTGTCGCTCGACAGACAGGTGTGAGAAGCGGAAGGGGGTGATGGAGGACCGGACGTGACCGGCTTGTGGGTGGCGGCTGCTGCTGGTAAACAACAATAACAACAACAACAGCAGCAACAAGGGAATGAGAGGATGAGAGAGAGAGACAAAGAGAGAGAGGCAACTAGGGAGGGAGGGAGAAAGAGAGGGACAGGGATACAGAAAGCGAGAGGCGGCAAGGGAGGGGGGGAGAGAGGTGGCAAGAGAGGGAGGGGGAGAGGTGGCAAGAGAGGGAGGGGGAGAGAGAGTGAGAGAGAGATAGAGGTGGCAAGGAAGGGAGGGAGATAGAGAGAGATAGAGAGAGAGCGATAGAGAGAGACTGGGACAGGGAGAGAGAGAGAGAGAGAGGGACAGGGAGAGAGCAAGAGGCGGCAAGGGAGGGGGGAGGGAGAGAGAAAGGGACAGGGAGACAGAAAGCGAGAGGCGGCAAGGGAGGGGGGGAGAGACGTAGCAAGGAAGGGAAGAGGAGAGAGAGAGGTGGCAAGAGAGGGAGGGGGAGAGAGAGAGTAAGAGAGATAGAAGTAGCAAGGAAGGGAGGGAGAGACAGAGGGGGACAGGGAGAGAGAGGTGGCAAGGGCGGGGGGAGTGAGGAAGAGAGGGACAGGCAGAGGGAGAGAGAAAAAGATAGAGAGAGAGAAAGAGACTAGGACAGGGCCATCTCTAAGGTCCCCCAGCCCTCCCCACGTGGTCCTGCCTGCACCCCTTAAGGGGAGCGGGACATATCTGGGACCATTGGATGGCTGGGCGGCAGTGAGAGCAGGCCCTGGCGCTCCAGCCTGGTGGATGGGCAGGTGGTATAGGGACCCACCTGGGGCCAGAGGCTGGCTGGGCGGCAGTGAGAGCAGGCCGTGGCGCTCCAGGCTGGTGGATGGGCAGGTGGTATAGGGACCCACCTGGGGCCAGAGGCTGGCTGGGCGGCAGTGAGAGCAGGCCCTGGCGCTCCAGGCTGGTGGATGGGCGGGTGGTATAGGGACCCACCTGGGGCCAGAGGCTGGCTGGGCGGCAGTGAGAGCAGGCCGTGGTGCTGCAGGCGGCGGATTGGCAGTCAGGTGGTGTGGGGACCTACCAGGGGCCAGAGGTGGGCCAGGTGGAGCAGACCCTGCTGCTGCAGGTGGTGGATCAGTGGGCGAGTAGCATGGGGACCCACTTGGGGCAAGTGGATGAGGTGCTGCAGATTGAGGATCAGCGGGCGGGTGGTGTGGGGATCCACCTGGGGCCAGAGGTTGACCGGGCAGCAGTGACAGCAGGCCCTGGTGCTGCAGGCTAGTGGATCGGCGGGCGGGCAGTGTGGGGACCTACCTGGGGGCAGAGGCTGGCTGGGCGGCAGTGAGAGCAGCCCCTGGCACTGCAGGCTAGTGGATCGGCGGGCGCGCAGTGTGGGGACCTACCTGGGGGCAGAGGCTGGCTGGCCGGCAGTGAGAGCAGCCCCTGGCGCTGCAGGCTAGTGGATCGGCGGGCGCGCAGTGTGGGGACCTACCTGGGGGCAGAGGCTGGCTGGCCGGCAGTGAGAGCAGCCCCTGGCGCTGCAGGCTAGTGGATCGGCGGGGGCGCAGTGTGGGGACCTACCTGGGGGCAGAGGCTGGCTGGCCGGCAG